AAAATATGAAAGATCTCTTGAAGATAATTTCTCTGCAACCACAAGCTAAGCTCTTTTTCAGTCTACCAGTCTGTATAGAGGTTGATCTACAAACCACTGTGGGGGGCGAACTGTAAAATGTCTCAGATTGCTTTGTACAAAAAGACGCATGTGTGTTGGAGTCATTTAAAAAGAACAGACAAAAGAAAACGTGGTACAGTGCATGGTTTTGTTCTTTCAGGTATCTGCAGCACACAATATAGGTATATAATTATAAAATGTAATATATATTCTGGTAAAAATTGTCTCTAGTTGTGAAGGTCAGAATGGTCATAATCTTCTGTGATGTCCACAAAGGAACATTAATATTTTGTGATCAGTGTGTCTTGATCAGATTTAGACTGGTTGGCTTGGCTGTTCTGCCTTTGACATTCATGAGTTCCTGTGCTCTCACTTTTCATTTTAATGAGGGATGAACAAAGCACCTTAAATGATCACATCTGCTTTGAAGAGTGGGGGATGTGATCAGAGAAACCCACACCTACACTGTGTGTGTGTGTGTGGCTCAGGTTTTGTTTAAATTATTGGGGATCGAATGCCCCCATACAGACAGTAAGACCTGAAATCAGCTACAAAACTGACAGGTTGTTTGTATGATACTGTGTAGTTAAATATATATACAATTTGGAAGAGAATGTTTTTGTAATAAATGAAAAATAATAATAGCACAAAGATGGTGCTATGATTTTATTTGCGTCTTTCACTTGTTGTATTTCCTGTCTATGGATCTCTGTTTGGACAGGCACCCATACGTTGGGCTTAATTTCATCTACCAGCTTTCATTGTTTGTATGCTGCTCACTGTGTCCCATCTGTATTAGTCGACAGGGAATTATATTACAAATTAATTATATTGTGTCTGTTCTCTTTATTATGAGTGAATCTGTGTTTTTCGCAAGGCCCAGCGCTACAGGGGTGACATTGTCATCAGGCTATTCAGATGAGTCTACAAAAGGCCCTTCACACCTGCACCTACTCTGCATTTCACAGCCCTCTTCTGCTGTGCCTTCATTTGTTTGAATGGACCTTCACAGATGTGAGCACATCATTATTGTTCTGTGCTGCTTTAGACGGTGCTGTGTAAATTGTTTGTGGTGCCATGAGGTGCACCAGTATGTCTTATTGGACTGTTTCTGAATGCTAGAAAATGTATGTATGTAAGAAGGATGCATTGAACATGAAATTAAAAAGGGATAGTTCACTCAAAACCAAAAATTATTATTTATTCACCATGTTATTCCAAAGTCCAAACCTTTATGACTTTCTTCTTTGGAGCACAAAAGAGGATTTTGAAAAACGTCTCAGTGTTCCAGACAGTGGAAGTCAACGCTAATGTTGTTTTAGACTCCATTGACATTCATTCTATACACTCTAAAAAATGCTGGGTTAAAAAGGGACAAACTCAGCTATTGGGTTGTTTTGACCCAGCTTTTGGGTTGTTTTGACCCAGCGGTTGGGTTGTTTTGAACCCAACTGCTGGGTCAAAACAACCCAATAGCTGGGTTTGTCCCTTTTTAACCCAGCATTTTTTAGAGTGTAGGTAAAAACATTTGAAACATTCTTATTTGAATTCTTATTTAAAGGTTATTTGAATGGTAATTTAGTCAACCCACTTAAAATATCTTCCATCTTCTGTTTCCAAAAGCGTCCTCAATGCTGTTTAATATGTCTTGGATGGTTAATATAATTTGAATGAAGCACTTAGCTGTTTTCTATTGAGCTTTAAAAGTGCACTGGCTCTAGCGGTTTGCATATTTCTGTCCAAATTGCCCACTGGGTCATGTAGGTTTTGTGGTTTGCTCAGTGCTCTTTATATTGCCTAATGGGTTGCTAAGGTTTGGTTGTTTGTAGAGTGCCAACCAAATTGATATTTTCACTACTGGTCTGGTGAAAACAAGAAAATGGATCCACTGGATGCTGCACAGAATCGGCTTGGCTGTGTGATTCGGTTGAGTAGTAGTTTTGTCACACTTTTGAAGTGTATAACTACCTAGGCCAGAAACTAGCCTATTGTTTTCAAGCAAACGACAAACTAACAAGTAATATGTAATTAAGCAAAATATGGGGGGGAAAAAATTAATATTAGTAATATGCACACTTCTGTTCAGAAGTTTGTGGTCAAGGATCAGCATTTTTTAAAAGACATTAATGCTTTTATTCAGCAAGGATGCATTAAATCGATCATTTATAATTTACTTTAATTTAAACATTTACAATCTTACAAAAGATTTCCATCTCAAGTAAATGCTGTTCTTTTGTGCTTTCTATTCATCAAAGAATCCTGGAAAAATGTAGCATGGTTTTCACAAAAATATTAAGCAGCACAATCTGACACTGAAGACTAGAATAAAATACAAATACGAAATAGAAAACTATTATTATTAGAATTAGGACTGGGCGATAAAACAATAATGATAATTATGGAGATATAATTTTACTTGATAAAACGAAAACAAGAGTTCGATAAATGTTGGATATAATGTTTATGCGCCAAAAGCCGAAGGAAACAGCGCTGCTCATTTGAACCACGCCTCACAGAGCATTTATCCACTCGGCTCAGAGTTCAAACAGCAGCTCGAGCATGGTATTGTGGCAGAAATGTGGGATATTCATATTGAATTGTATGATATTATTTATGCTGACATGTATTAAATGTATTAAAGGAGTAATGGATTATAATTTAATATAATAACATATTTATTTAACACACCATACTTCTTATTTACAGTTCCTTGCGTTTGTACATATGTACATATTTGTACATATGCTACTATGAAAGACCAATGGTTAATTTTAATAAAACTCAAACAGTCAGAATAATTAAATTTCACCGTCTAAAAATGTGGTTGTTAACATTTTTACAGATGTTACTGTTTTTGATAATGAACATAAATTTGCAACTGCATCCTAACTCAAGCTACTACTACTGTCCACTCAAGCTACTGTCAAATGTGCATTTTTAAGAGACCAAAGAATGTAATATTATTAATATTGCAGCCTGCACTGCAAACTGTGCTGAAGATGCGTATCATCAAAGTCAGGCAACACAAACATGCTTCATGATTTGAAACAAACTCAATCATTAAAACATGCAGAAAGTAAGAAATACTTGTTTCTATTAATATATTTATTTTGTTAAGGAAAAATTACTGGAAAAGTGTACAGAATTCAAAAGCATGAACTGTTTGTCATGTTCTGACCATAAAGAGTCCGTTTAAAACCACAATTAACAGTCTGATTTCTACAACTTTCACTTTAGGAGCAAAAATCTACCTTTTAACTTGAAATAAATAAAAAAAATTGAAATTTATCATGATAATTATCGATATTGGCTGATGAAAAATTTTATTGAGATAATTTTTTTGGCCATATTGCCCAGCCCTAATTAGAATAAAAAGGGTAATGTATGCTTGCAAAAATATTTTCCAGAATAAATAGCTACTTTTAAATGGCCTTCGATGAATAAAAACACTTTTAGCCTGCAGAGCATGTAGTTACAGTATGCACTAACGGGCTTTGCCAAACTTTGACCCCTTTGCAAGTACTTATTGTGATTTTTATTATAATATTTTCATGTAGCTTTACTCTCTTTCTCTCTCTTGCCTCCATCCACCTACTCCCTCTATCACTTCATCATACTGAGAGTCTCATCAGCACCTCTGCTTCCCTACACGATGTGCTCTTGGATGTGAGGGCAGCCTCTGTAAATTCACTCTGACCTCTTCTCATTGCATATTCCTCTACTGTAAGAGTATGTAACACTGTGCTTCTTTGCGCCCAGGCCACAGGCCGTATGGAAGCTGCTCTCTTTTTGTGTAAGTGTCAACGCCGCCATGAGCTGTATGCAGAGGGAGAATATTAAAACAGCTTCTTATGAATAGAAAGTCATAAAAGAGCCCCTGCTAAATTAATAATGGATGAATCACTTGGGGGGAGGCGAACATGAAAGGTATTCTGGTGTGCCAGTGTTTCAGCTGACCAGGTGTTCCAGTATCGCTCCGGTGTCATCCTGCATCGTTATATAATCTATATACTATTAATCAATATTATTATGTATTTTAATATTATGTTAATAATGTAATGTTAATTGCTATTAATATATGATTTTATTCTATGTAATACATTTTTATGAACTAAACAATATTAATATTTAATTTATATATCAAAGAACAAATTTCAAGAACAAGAATAATCTCACTGCTTTGTTTCGGTTTAATTGTGTAATACAGTACTGTTCAGAATGTCTTTTAATGGGTTTTTAAAGATGTTTTTAATGCTTGCCAAGGCACCGTGTGAAGAAGACAGTAAAACATTTTTAAATCACGTTTTTTTATTTATTTTTAAATATTTTATTTTTTAAAGAATTTGAACGTTTTCTTGTGATGCTAACGCTGAATTTTCAGCAACCATTTACTCCTGTCGTGATCCTCCAGAAATCATTCTAATATGCTGATTTGGTGATCAAGAAACATTTGAAAACAGCTGCTTAGTATTTTTATGAAAACTGTGATAGAGTTTTTAAAAACAATTCTCTGATAAATACTGTAGATGAAAGTGTGATGAAAAGATTAAAATAACATAATTTAGTTAAAATGTTTTTTTTGTGATAATGTAAAAGTCTGTCACTTTTTAATGCATCCTTGTTGAAAATTTTAATTTCTTCCAAAAAAATCTTACTTTTGAACTGTGGTTGTGTGTATACATTATATAATACAGTATTTCTTATTGCACATCTGTAATTTGAAATGTGTTGTTGTACATGTGTTGTGCAATAGCAATCCAACTGCTTTTAAACAAAGTTTTTTTTTAACTTTCTAATTTATTTTTCCTTCTTTTTACCAGTAGCAAAAAAGGTTAAAATTTAAATATTGTAAAGCTATGAGCTGACATTTCTTACTCACTTCTCCTTGCCACACCTATGCTTTTACCATGTAAAATACCTTTTGAATTCCTCTGTGACACTGAATACACCTGACTAATTTCTCTTTTCTCTTCTGCTTGTTTCAAATGTACTTCCCCTTTAAGAATTTTTGCATCATGTATTTGTGTTATTGCATTAACTCCCAGTTTATTTTTGGTAATGCTTATTTAAGGCTAACGTGGCTGACTGCTCTCTTTTTTGTGTCTTTCTGAAGGACCCGCGCAGTAAGCACAAGTTCAAGGTCCACACGTACTCCAGCCCCACCTTCTGTGACCACTGCGGCTCTCTGCTGTATGGACTCATCCACCAGGGCATGAGATGTGACCGTGGGTATCTCTCACTTTCCTCGATTTCCACTCAGGCGCTCAATAACACATAATAAGCCAATTAGAATATTTGTTTGCTTTTGAAAAAAGTTTTTTACATATTTTGATCGTTTCAAAGCTGAACCCAGCATGCAAGTTATTTTTGTGGTATAGGCCTAGATGTGGTAGGGTTGACTGGATATAAACATTTAGGATTCAGTCTGATACCAGCCTCTAGTGCAGGTTCTTAGGAGCATTAAATAAACTAATAAATAAAATGGATGTGAAATCTGTCATCTGTCAGAATGGGTGCAATTTAAATCGAGTGGGATCATAGAATTAACAGCTTAAACGTATGTACTGGAATATTATAGTAAATAACAAAAACTAAATTATTTTGTTCAAATGGAAACAGATAAACTACAAAAGTTTGAGGTTAGTAAGATTTTTTAATTAAAGAAATTTGTACTTTTATTCAGCAAGGATGCATTAAATTTATCAAAAGTGACAAATGCTGTTTTGTTTTTTACTTTATTCATCATAGAATCCTGGTTTTCAGCATTGATAATAATGTTTCTTGAGCAAGTAATTCAGCATATTAGAACGATTTCTGAAGGATCACGTGAAACTGAAAACTGGAGTAATGACTGCTGAAAATTCAGCTTTGCCATCACAGGAATAAATGACATTATAGAATATACACCAGTTTAAGAAGTCTCTTAAACTCACTAAGGCTGCATTTATATGATCAAAAACACAGTAAAAACAATTTAAAAGAACAGTTTTCTATATAATGCACACCGATGAGCCATTACATTATGATCACCTATCTAATAACCTGTAGGACCTCCTTTAGCCCACAAAACAGCGGCCATGCGAGGAGGTATTAATTTGACGAGGTGACGTTAGGTCTCTTGGGGTATGTGGAACCATAATGTCAACAGCAGGTCCTCCAGATCCGTACATTGCGGAGTGGTGGTGATGTAGTACAAATCCGCTTTTCCAAGTCAAACCACAAATGTTTGATTAGGTGAATTTGGAACCACCCCGAACCACTCCTTGACAGTTCTGGCAGTGTGGCATGGCGCATTATCCCAACCCAGACTCATTCGAAATACGTGCCTCTAAATACATTTCTGTAACATCGTTATTACGTACCTTACTGCACGTTTCACGGCAGTTTCAAAGTGAACTGTCCAGTGAGTGGCACCAAAACATGTGTTCAATACGTGACACTGGCACATTTTTTTTTTTACGTTGATATAGGCACATATTGCTGTGTTTTAATTACGTTGCTTCAGGTACGTATTGCGGTGGTTCATAATTCAAATATCCGGTGAGTGTCGCTAAAAGTTAATGATCTATCATGCTGGAAATAACCCCTACACCAAACCCAACCCTAAGCCTACCCAATAGTGTTAACAAATGCAAAACTGATATAAAAATGCATTCATTGATGCAACCGTGCCGTTTGAACTGTTTTGTTGAAGCATAGTTTCACGGGATTCGTACCGGAGCTCTTCACCACTCAAGTGCAGCTCCATACTGCGTGAGCTACCGAACAAACCTACTGTATATGAATACCCATACATATGAAGCTGGATATGTGACGCTAACATTAAAAAGTATCAGTTTTGACATCTCGCAGCATGTTAAAATTGTTTTGAATATATAACATAATATTCCTCAAGTAATTGTACGAAAAATAGGCTTTATTAATTGAAACTGTGAACCTGTAAATCATACTTTGTGTGAAAAGGAATAAAAGTTGTTGGAGTTTTACTGCCTCTAGAGTTTATTTCAACTGGAAACTGCAGCGATTCGTATATATAGTAAGTACGTTTTTTTCAGTTGTGCAGAGATGTATTTAGAGGCACGTATTTCGAATGAGCCTATGTTGCATTATCCTGATGGTAACGGCCATCACTGGCAGGGAACACAGTTGCCATGAATGTGTGCACATGGTCTGCAACAATGTTCAGATACCTGACAGCTGTCAGGAACTGTGCTATTGGGATAATGGGGCCTAAAGCATCCCAAGAAAACATCGCACACAGCATAACCAGCCTGTGTCCACCCAACAGTACATCCAGGTAACATAGCCTCTGTTGATAATCAGTGTATCCGTGCTCAGCCGTCGACGTGATGTACCAGGAATCTTGATTCATTAGACTAGGCCACTTTCTTCCAATCATCCATGGTGCAATTTCGATAATCTTGTGCCCAATTCATGTGTTGTTGGCAATGGTGTGCAGTTAGCAAGGGGACCCGCCTGGGTCGTCGGCTACACAGGCCCATACGCAGAAGGCTGTGGTGAAATGTGTTCTGTGATACATTGTCCTGGTCACTACTGTTGTAGCTGCTAGTGATTTGTCACACTGTGGCCCTGCAGTTTCCGCTCCCCTCTGGGATCAGTGAGCTGCAGACGACCACTTTTGATACGTACTCACTACAGCAGCACGTGAACAACCCACGAGGTGCACCGTTTCCAAGATCAGAGACCAGAGGCGCAGTGCCATCACAATTTGTCCTTTATCAAACTGCGATAAATCGCCAGCTTTTCCCATTCTGACACCGACCGACTGCCGATCTACTGACCTCCTCAGGTGGTATATATACTGATCTGTGAACTGCACCTGCCCATTTGGTTGCTCTTTGGTTACTCATTGCTCTAGGCTGGAGGTGGTCATTATTGTAATGGCTCACTGATGTGTATTATATATAAAAACAGTTCTTTAAAATAGTTTTTACTGTGTTTTTGATCATATAAATGCGGACTTAGTGAGTTTAAGACACTTCTTTCAAAAACACTAAAAAAATCTTACCAACTCCAAACTTTTGAATGGTAGTTTAGGCAGCATTTATTTTTTCCCAGTCTCATATGCTCTGCATCTATTGTAATACCCACATTGGCTATTAAGTTCTATAATAAATGCGTTCAACTTTTTCATACTCATCATGCATTGATGCATATTGACACCCTTAACTTAACATTAGCATTCACATTTTACGTCACACAGCTTGGACTTGCCAAATTGTACTAAATAGCTGCACTTTGTTTGAATTCAAAATGTGTGTCACTACCTTTAATTTTTTATGATACCATTTGTACTGTATACCGTGCAACCCTAGTATTATGGTTGGGTGATCCGTGTGTGTTACGTATCCCAGCGAGGCGAATATCCTGAGAACATAACCAGGCTGTATGAAGTCCTGCTCACAAAGCACCTGACTGAAAAGAGCTTTTCCATCTCATGGTAGCCAGCCTCTTATCCAGTGTCCAATACATAAAACATTCAAAATGCTTCACTCACTTAGCAGCTGTCCAAGCCTCCGGGGCACAGATATTCACTGCCACATACCTGATTGTTGGCTAACAAATATTCATTGATATAACAGCGTATTTTCCAGCAGCTCTTTACTCTTATTAATGTATGACAGGCAGGTAGGCAGGTGAACAGACAGGTGGTGTAAAGATGAGGTGCTCAGCATCTTCACCTGAAACCTGACACAAAGTTGTTATGGTTGCAGACAGGGAGAGCTATAATTGCCTCTGTTTAGTTTCCAATGCATGCACCGTCTTCTCCGGGGCCCTCTACACTATTTACACTCCAGCTATGGCTTGCACTCTGTAACACTTTTGACTGAACTGTGGGGAAGTGCTGCAGTGCATGAGGGAGTACAGTGTGTGTGAGTGTATTCTTGTGTGTTTGCTTATTTCACACTCATTTTCAGAAGTAGCCTGAATACCAGAGTGCCTGTTTGGCTAGTTGATATGTAAACTTATGTTGAGTCCGGCTGCTTCTTTTTGACCTGTGTCCTCCAACGCAACAAAAGCATCATTACTGTGATTAGCATCTTCGCTACTGCTTTGTTCTTCAACCCCTACTGACCCTGCTGTAAAGATCAGTTTAGAGTAGTCAACCAGCCTATTTATTTCTGATGGAGCTGGATGGCTTCGCTCGATAAGAAGTTTACCAGCATCCAAAACACACTTGCTGGTGATGTTTTTAGCAGGGGAGTACTACCTGAGGACTAGTTTGTTAGTTTCTTGGTCAGATCATACAACCTTCAGAAAATACTATTCCTTTCTTTCAAAGTCTAGTGAGTCAACTCCTTGTCTACTGCATACATAGGCAGGCATCTTTTAGGATGGCAACTGAAATATATACAATGTGCAATATGGTCTCAAAAAATAAATTCCAGAATTTGTCACTTGGCTGACAAAAAAAATAAACTTATGTACCATTTATCACTTGTTATGTACATTTAAGGTACTGATATTCACTTTTAGGCATAAATAAGGTACAAAAAAGTTTCACCAAGGCTGTATTTGACAAAAAATACAGTAAAAACAGTAACATTGTGAAATATCTGTTTTCTATTTTAACATATTTTAATATTTATTAATGTGATGGCAATTTTTAACAATGATTATACCAGTCTTCAGTGTCACATTATCCTTTAGAAGTCATTGTAATTCTCTGATTTGGTGCTCAATGACTTTATTTATTATCAGCATGGAAATCAATTGTTCTGCTTAATAGTTTTGTTCAACCCTGATAAAATTGAAATTTGTTGTGGCATACATTTCTATTCTGTCACTTTTGATCAATTTAATGCATCTTTCCTGGATAAAATGAAGTGTATATATATAAAACGTAGCTCTAAATTTGCTTTCAGGAATTGCCTTTACTCGCAAAGTGTTTATTTGATGCAGTCTACATGTTGGTAGGAGACTTATGAGTCATTGCTGAGCTGCCATTCATAGTTACAGAATTGGCTCAACAGGTCTTTGGTAGAAGGAAAGCACTTTCCCTTTCAGTCTGGCCTTTAAAATGTCACATTTATATATAGATTCATGTCTCGTCTTTTGTAAGTTGGGGTTGTGTAACATCTCTCCCTCTTTCTGTCTCCCTCCATCCAGACTGCATGATGAACATCCATAAGCGCTGTGTGGCCAACGTGCCGAGTCTGTGTGGTACTGACCATACTGAGAGGAGGGGCCGCATCCAAATCACCGCAGAGATCAAGAACAATGTGCTCACCGTCAGCAGTGAGTCACCGCTGCCCACTCACACACATCACTGCTGCACACATGTGCATGGAAGCAAACACTCACTCACGGCTTCCTAAATAGTGCACTGCTCGCTGGTGGATCCTGGACCTCTTGTTACCACACACATGCCTTCGTTTGACCCTTGAAGAACAGCCAAAAATGCACTTTATACGGCAGATCTTGTATGATTACATTCAGTTGAGGCATGGAGTGCTTCTCCGAAGACTTGTGCCAATTTCCTAGTGTCTGATTCCTTCTAGTGGTGAATCCAAAGCAACACCAGGTAGCAAGATATGTTTAGACATTTGAACAGGTGCTGATCTTATTGGAAATATCCAGCTGCATTTAAGTCTGTGTAAAGGCAATTCAGAGAATTGTTTCTAAACACATTATAAATGTTAGAAATGTATTGCTGAAACACTTTACAAAGACTATGAACTATGTAGTTCTGAATTGTGGAGTTAGACCGTTAAATAGTTTTTCACCATTTTTGTGTTCAGGATTTTTTGGGTGGGCCTGAAATCATGTCTCGATGAGGCACTGGAGTCACTGATCATGGCCCCTCCCCTAACACTATAAGAGGTGTGTTTGACTTGAAGCGGTGCTGCGCAGACCGATCGCTGTTATGACATTAAAGTACCGTGAAAGCTCTAAAGTGCAGACGCTCCGTATGCTTTCGAATTGCTCTCGCGGTACTTTGATGTTATAAACCGATTGGTCTGCGCAGTGCTACCAAAGCCACTAGAAGGCAAGCCTGCAACCTTTAGCCAAAAAACGTAACGGCTAATGCTAACGCTTCCGGTTTG